GAGCATGAGCTCCGCGCTTCTCTTCTCCTCTTGCTCTGCGTCTTCAGCAGCGTCTGTAGCCTTCATCTCCCTTGCGCGAGCTGCGGCTGCACAAGTAAAGCCTTGGGAAGGTTTTTGGCTGTCCCAGGGTGAGTCAGTCTGTCCCGGGATAAATGAAGCACACAGGCCTTGTGTTGCTGTCGCATACAGGCATGGCAGTCTCAAGGACAAGGCCGGAGTAGTGCCATCCTGTGAACCACAGATATTCGTCCACTGCTGATTTTGCTGCTTTTGTTTAGCTGAGGCACCCGCTGAGGATCACACAAAGGGGAGTCATTTCAGCTCAGAAAGGTTTCAGTTGCACCGATTTGCTCTGGCTGGAACAAGCACTCATCTCTCTCTTTCCCCAGTTCTGATGGTTTTTGGTGGGAGCTTCTGTTCCCTCCCCATCTTCTCTTTTTTCTCTTCTTCCTTTTTCCCCTTTCCTCAGCTGAAATATCTTTCTGATTTCAGGTTCTTCTGTGTGGCCGACCAAGTGAAGGTTTATACCAATGAGAACAAAACCAGGTGAGTTTAGACCCTCCAGAACAGAACCAGGTGAGTGAGTGGCAGGGCAGCCTCCTGTCCCAGGGACCAGAGGGAGCCCTAGGAGAGGCTCCCAGGTGCCAGCTGCCTCCTCGACCGAGGTTTCCTACCTTTCCCCAGCTGCTTTCAGGAGTAGCCCAGGCTGCGTAGATATTTTTTTAACGTCAGCGCTGATTTTCGGCGCTGGCAGCCCGAAAAGTTTTTATCGCACCATCTCTGCCAGCTAGCACCTCTCTGCAGAGCTGGAACCCGGGGCTGCAGAATCTCGGCCTCTTTGAGGGAGCTCCGCGCTCAGCATGACCTGAGGCAGACCTTTCTGCTCGGGTTAGATTAACGCTCAGGTTTCACATCAGCAAAAGCCGGCAGCGCTGCCAAAAGGAGGCAGCCCCGTTCACCGCCGTCTCTGATCTGGTTTGTTGTGCGGTTTTGCAAGCGCTTGTGCCGGCGGAGGGAGTGGGTGCCGGGCACGCGCAGCCCCAGGCGAGCGGAGAGGGGGCCACCTCTCTTGGCAGCAGCGCCGCTTGCGAAACTGCAGCGCAGGTCTTCAAAGAGCTGCAGACAAACGGCCCAGACAGCGCCAGTTCTCTCGGGCATCAGCTCAGCCTGATGGTGCCGGATCCAATTTAAGGCTATTAAGCATTTTAAATGTCAAAGCACTTTTTTTTTTTTTTTTAAGGGATTGAAATTCTGAAAAGTTGCTGAATGTAAGGGACATGGCAGCCCACCAAGATGCGGATGCTGGGTGGGACTTAAGTTTTCCAACAGTAACGTCTGTCTTCTCAAACACAACCGCTACGCTTGCACAGGACACCGCTCTACTGTAACACCCGTTAACAACGTCAGCTGCATTTTGTTTGCCTGGAAAATGAGTTTTTGAGCCACAGAAGGACACTGAGTATAGTCTGATAAAGCTATGTAGTGTATCACCCAGGCCTGCTTCTTCAATTGGCTCTTTTCCCCCCTCCTGCCATGTTGTTATGAATGTTCTGGGACTCAAAGGGCTCAGCTGCAGTTCCCCAAATCAGGGGATTTTTTCCCCCTTTAGATAAGGGCTAGGGTGTTTATCTGGTAGGAACGTGCTCCTGGCTGAGCTGGAGCTCAAAGAAGGTGCACTGTCTCTTCTGGTCTTTCTTTAGGACCTTTATTGGCTTGGAGGTCTCCGCAGGGCATTTCCAGCTGCTGGAGCTGGTCTCCGAGGTGGACAGGGTTATGGAGGAGTTTGATCTGCCCACGTTCTACAAGGTGAGGCGTCGCGCTCCCATGCTTGTCCAGAGATGACGACTGGTTCCTTATGCAGCGGCTAGGGGGCTGCAAACTCACAAAATGTCCAACCCCAGGTATTAGGAAGGACATTGCCTCCCACAGGCCACTGGTTCTGGGTGCTTGTCCACACCAACGCCCTGCGCAGGAGTTTGCTGGGAATGGGGCTACCACAAGCCTTCGCCATCAGGGATGTCTCACTGCAGCTGCTTGCACGGAGCAGAGGCTCCTCTAGACCATGAGATCTGATCCTTGGAGGGCTTTTTTTTTTTTTTTTTTCCCCCTTCAGGACCCATCATTCCATATCAGCTTGGCCTGGTGTGTTGGAGACCTGACTAGCAGGCTGGAAGGGCAGTGCTTGCGGGAGCTCCAGGTACGTCCCCATGCAGCATGGAGGGGAAGGGATGAGCAGAGCTGCTGGCCAGTCCTAGGGGAAATCAGAAGCTTCCCAATCCCAAACAGCCTCGTCCCTGACGCGGTTCTGAGAGGGAGCTGCAGCTCGTATGCTCTAAGCTGCTGGCTCCGTCTTCTGGTGGATCCACCTTCCTTATACTGACTCCTGCTTGCGTTTTCCAGGACATTGTGGACAAGTTTGAGGACTCGGCACACCTGCTGCGCATTCAATGGGAGCAAATCCGTTGCAAGTCAGGGAACAAGTACTTCTCCTTCCCCTTGAGGTAGGACCCAGCGGGCTGTGCACTTCAGAGCCCTGAAGACCCTGCTCTTCGACACTGAGCTGTTCTGTCCTGCAGCTCTGCACCGCGTGGGCTGTCCCACGCACCCTTCTTGCCTGCTCAGCAGCTCTGGGGAGTTTGTGGCCTCAAGTTGGCCATTGGGCTACTTCCAGCTTTAAGCTGTTGGCTGAAGAAATGTGTGTTTGTAGCAGATTTCTGCCTAGGCTGCTGACAGCACCCTGCTGTATGTGCTGTAGTCAGCACAGGAGGTTCCAGACATCCTACAGTTGCTAATTTTGCTGTTTTTTTTTCCTTTTCAAAAACAAATGTATAGAAACCGTAGATGCCTTATGGTGGGGAGAAGGTAGAGTGGGAAGCTGTGGGAGGCAGAGTGTCTGGCACAGTTGGAAATAGCAGTGCCTCGTCAGGAAGCTCGGAACACGCTGGCTGCGCAGGAGTCCTTAGCTTTGATTTGTAAATGCAAAGACACCAAGCTTTCCCCGGCGCATCTCCCACCTCAAGAGAAGATCCCATGTCGCATTCTTCCTTTCACACTTGCCGCCTCCGCAGAGGGATCTCAGTACGAGATCCTCCTGCCAAACAGAGGTGAAAATTAAATATTGACAGAGAGACTGGATATCCCATGTGTTTCCATGCTAACTAGTCTGTCTCCAGTTTAAAAGAATGACTTTGCTTTAAGATGAGATCAAGACTTGAGGCAGAGAGGGGGATGTTTCTCCTACCTTGAGCCCAAGAGAGGGCAGTGTTGGCTTTTGCATCCTGGAAAGGCAGTGCCCGCTCAGGCAAGTGGATGGGTGGCAGCTTTAACCCGTGCCATCCCGTGGACACGGCACGTTGCAGCCTGACGCTGCTCGCTGCAGGCTGGGCTCCTCCTGCTGCACAGGGGCCTTCCTGGCCTCGCTGCTGCCAGGGGGTCTGCTGTGGTCTGAGCAGGGCACGTGGTGCTGCCCTGAATCCTTCGTTCACGGTTCGTATGATGAAAGACTGCGGGACTTTATCTGGGCAGTAAAATCCGTTTTATTTACATCATAAAATTGTTTCTGTGCTATCTTTGCGCTGTTGGATTTCAGGCATGCTGGGCTGAAGCAGGCTTCAAAGGAGGTGATGCCCACGAGTGTTTTGCGGGGCTGGGCGCTGCAGTGCCCTTCCTCTTGTTGTCCAGGAGAGCCCAGGGGCCTCGGGATATCGGCCTCAGCTCCTTTGCCGGCTCAACGCAGGGCTTGGCAAGCGGGCACATTGCACCAGCACTTTCCTTGGGTGACACTTGCTCTCTCCCCACTCGAAATTCCGGCGCCCAGCACTGTCCCGCTCGCTGCACATGTGAGCATTCCCCCTCTCACACCAGCCTTGTTTGTAGACTTAGCTCCTGAGATGGAGACCTGGGGATCATTGACATTTAGGGCGTTAGTCCCAGGAGACTTTCGGTGAAACTTGGCTCCAGAGCCCGGGCACGTTTCCTCCTGGTTTGAGGCCCTCAGCGAAAGGTTAGTGCTCGCTGAGTAACCACAGCAGCCGCCTGCGCTCTCTGCCCAACGGAGGCCAAGGCTGGCACATCCTGGCGTTTCGCAACGCCGCACACGGCCAGCGGCGTCAGTCAGGCCAGTCCTCAGCCCTCCCAGCGCAGCGGGTCTTGGGACATCCCGGTGCCTCGTGCGCGCTCTGGGAATGGGGCTGCACGCTTGGCTTGGGGAGCCCTTCCCTTTGGAAAGGGCAAGTGCTTGTCCGCCGTGCCCTGAAGGCGGGGATACAAAAGCGGCTCTGTTGCGGAAAGCGGGAAGCCGGTCACAAAGAGATGGCGCCGCCGAGGCACCCGGCTCGCCGAAACGCAGC